GCCTCGTCGCAGCAGACGGCGGCGGAAGGGGGCGGCGGCGGGGGCAACGGCGATGAGCGACCGCCAATTGGCCTGCCCCTCCCCCGCGCGTTCGCGCCAACGTTGACATCCCCGGGGGGTGATTACGACATGGGACGCGAGGACGTAGCAGGCCGGATGGCTCGAAATGCGCGAGAATCGGGGGAGGAAGGAAGAGGATGACAAAGGGAGGTCGAGAGAAATTGAAACTAGTGGCGAAGAGAGCAACAGATGTTCCAACAGCTGAAGGGTGGCAATAAGGAGGGAATGAAAGACATCGGTGTGTTATGTGGAAAAGTGACCTTAAAATTGTGACTGCCAGCAGTGAAAAGCCACGAAGGTGCACTTTCAAAAAATTGTAGGAGACATAGAAACGAATGGAGCAGGCAAATATTTACTTTCATGATCGCACATCGTGGGATTCCCAAAACTATTGAACCTGACATAACCTATCAGTAGGGATCGAGATTTATTGTAAAAAAAAGCAATATATATGCAAAGAATGTCTCTGATCACGCCCTGAAATGGATTCCGAGCGGTTCAAGGAAATTCTACCTCTACAGAAGTACTTGTACACCTCTATTCACCAAACGTAAAGATGTTTATCAAAAATATAAAATACAGTCGTAGTATAAACTACGTTTACGAGTAACCGGTGCTAAAATAAATTAACCGTGAAGCCAGAGATGCATTCGCCTCCCAAAAAATCTGTAAATCTGTAAAAGTATTTTTAAGTGCAAGAACGTTGAAATTACGTCTGCTTCTCAAACCTCCACTTATTCTTGATTCCGAGTACGGCTTGTAATAAGCAGGAAAGTTTTAATATGCATGGCGAAGGTTCGGTGGTTGTAGAAGCGTTGAATCTTTACAATGCTTTGTAAAGAGATTATTCCTTTCATATGTAGTGAAAAATCGTATCTGAAATGTCTGTTTCAACACTTAAATATAATACAATATCACGAAATATGTAAGAAATATGCATCAGTATGTTAAATATGTAAGTATTTGTGTTTATACAAAAATATGTCAAATACAAATCGTTTAATTGAATCAGAATGTCGCATAAGTTCTAAACATTTTTTATTGTTCACTCTTATCTTGTTCGTGTGAAAATATATGTTTACATGAAAATACGTTCCCTACCTACCAGACCTTTTCACTGAGTATTTTACTAAAAAACGAATTGTAATAACGTTGGGAAACAGCAAAAATAATTCTGTGATTGAGGCTTTTTTCAGGCCCTTCTTCTTCTCACCGGATTAGTTGGGTAACATGCGCAGAATTGATGCTTATTAATATCATAATTAGACAACTAATGATCGTTGATGACAATACTTTGTGATCCTTGTTGTCACACGTGTCAACAATGGTTACAGAACTACAAAATCAAATAAAGAAGTTGAGAGTATTGATTATAGATTTGAAAGTAGCAATGCCACCATGAGTATCATTAATATTTATAGCAGTGATGAGTAAAAATAAGCAGTGGTAGTTACATAACTATAAAGGTAGTAAAAGCGGAAGATAAGGGTCCAATCAGGGTATGACGAAGATCACGAGAATGAAAGAGTTTCCAAGCGTAGGTTGGCCAGTAAACCAAGCCAAGTGTGACATGTGTGTCTGATGGCGACAGCCGCAGGGGGGAGAGGCGTTCTCGGTGCTGAGAGCGCAGAAGTGACGCCCCGCTAGTTCCCATCGTGCACTGCCTGCCTCGGGGCCATCAGCGGCCCGGCGGGGGCGAATTCGCCCCATTCAATTACGCCCTTCCCGCTGCGCCCGCGTCCGCGCCCGCTTGGCCTCACACGCTCCCCCGAGCCCGCGGCCGCTCTGCGGTGCCCTGCAGGCCACACTCGCCCACAGACAGCCCAGGGCACGCTCACGCCAACACTACCTGCCAACGTGCGGGGGTCAAGGGAGTAGCGATATCGGAATGAATTTGACCACCGAGGTGATTCGATCTGTCCGCACCAGACCATGCCGTTCGTCTGACGTGATACTCTCCGTCTAGACATCGCCCGGTCCGATACAATCGTCCGGGCCGATACGGCCATCCGACCAGACACGGTCGTTCGGTCCGATATGACCGTCTTGTCCGGTACTGGGTCTGCCGTGTCGGGTCGGGTATCGGATCCGGCATCGGATCGTATCGCGTCTGGCCGAATCATGTCGGACGGCCGTATCGGTCCGAACGATTGTATCGGGCAGGGCGATGTCTAGACGGCATCCGTCAAAACAAAGGACAAAATGCAATTAAGTACTTATTGATGCAGAATTGAAATATGTATTATCAAAAATTTCGTTTCAAGTCTGAGGAATCGGAATTTTGAACACTTTATGCAATTGAAGTATTTAAAATAAAATGGAAACAAAGTTATATTTTCTAGTTGCTTTCTACATTACGTTCTACGAGACACATAGTGAAACTAGTTAATTTTTTTGCTTGTATTTCTTCAAAATTAACCTTGTTGCTAATGTCTGAAAAAAATTAATTATTTTATAATTCTATCACTACAACAGCAAAACGTGACTCGATTTTTGCTGAGAGGAACTGCACTTAAAAGAACCGAAGTTCGAAGGAATACGATTCACCGGATGGGACTCATTTCCGAATGGCCTACATTTGCGAGAGGGGTAGACGGCTCTCTGCATATGACGGCGCCACTGAGTTGATTAACAGTTCTTTTCCTGTTAGAGCCGTAGTTCTGATTGAATCGGGCAACTAATTTTGTCTTTCATTGTTACATGACACACGCTTTAGTGCAATTCTCGGTCCGATTTGGTTCTACTGGTAGAGGGGGCTCAGCGCATCACTGATGTCACTGTAGTGCGTCTGACCGGGAAGTCCTAGGTTCGAGTCCCGAGAGTGGCAAGATTTTATTCACTAGCTTGTTAGCTACATTGAATTCAGTCGCTGACTGGAGGAGAAGTCTAGAGTCCGGCTTCTCTGTTCGGTAGTTGCCATGTTTTCTCCGATTAACACCAAGCGAATGTCGGAGCAGTACCCTAACAAACGGGCAACGGACCGCGCGCGATATTTCCTTCCCCTCCCAGTCCTTACTTACACACACTGATATAAACATGCACTATACTACCACACGTGCAGGAAGACCGGTTGGGAGCTTAGAGCTTGTCCCGGCTGGTGCCCTGCGCGTGGGACCTACCTGGTTAAAGGAAATATCACCAGCCGACGGTAGGTCGGCGCCACATCTCGCCATCCAGCGGGGACTGATCAGCGCTACCTTCCGAGGGAAAACGTGCGTTACATTTACGGGACTAATGACAGTCTTTGACGCGTCTGGAATCACTAACAACTTATCAACCAATAAACGAATTTTATTTCGAAATATGGTGCGTTTTATGTCCCCTACAAACAAATTAGGACTATGAAATAAGATGTCGAGACTCAAATAACTTGCATGTAAAATCCAGGAGGGCAAAAACTAATGTAAGAATATTTATAAAGAGAGAGAAAATATTGATATATGCTTGTAAAAATATGCATTTATGACCTGGAAATTCTCAAGTATGCACTTTAACATGCTATTAAAATTAACAATATTTCATTTCCTGCATTAATTTTTCCTGACAGAATTAAAGAGATGCATGCTGAGAATACAAAAGTATATTTTCATGCAAACAGAATACAATCTACTTTACATCAAGAGAGAAAGAATTAAAGTAAATATTCACATTAGTAAAGAGTATTGTATGTCGTGTTGCGTTTGGTCTAGCTGGTTTAAAAATATCAAGAAATTTCCACATGTATTTTATCATCTATAGGAAAGGGGGAAAACGCAAACACTGACAAGCTCTTTGTAATCGTTGAAAGCTCACCAACAAATACTCGTAGATCTTATGAAAAATTGAAATGTTTTAGAAAAAATACTCTTTTAACGAAATATGCAAAATATGCGCCTATAATTACACGAATATGCACCGACACGAAAAATGACCAAATATGCACAAACATATTAATCTGTATAGCATCCAATTTCAAGAAATTTCAGTTAACCATGCCCTTAAGCAACGGACAAAATATGCAATATCATAGAAATCCGCTCCCTATTTGTAAACCTGCATATTTTATTTAGTGAGAGATTACTTGGGGGAACGGAACGCTCTATGTTGCCAATGTTAAATTAAGCTATATTTAGGGAACATTTTCTCAGAAAGTTCTCCACCAAGAAAGATGAAAATTTTAGAGGTTGCAAATTCTACCTTTATGGTTAGTTTGTTGCTGCATTTAAGTGAAAATTTATTTAATTTAAAAGATATACATTTTTATTTTATTCCAATTTTTAAAGAATTTGTCAATGCTCTACTAAATACTTTTCTACTAAAACTTTCTGTATTGTACATAACCTATCTTTAACAGAATCAGCATGTGGATAATACTTGTATCAACATATCCTGAAAGTCTTATTACAATAGCATTACTCAGAGGTGAGAAAATGTTCCTTATTAAAAAGTAAATAAATGTTAATTATTAAAAAGTAAACTTACGGAAATTCAGCTTTAAAGTTGACATATCACAACAAGCTTGAACCATAGCTAGGTTCATCAATATCAACTTCACTTTCCATTAATAATTTTCTCTTGATGCTCCATTTATATTCTTTGGCTTCGTTGGTGATCCTTGAGTGTTTGTTTTCTGTCTTTCTTAATCTTGAAGTGTCGATTCTCTTCACTGTCTCAACGGCGTTGCGACCAGCATCAATTCCTAAAATTCGTAACACTTGACAATTGACGATATTATCTTTGTTAAATGTGTCTAGGGCATCATATACTCCAAAATGCCAATAAAAGTGTATTAATGCCAATGAAACTGGGTTGAGGAGACGATTCCAAATTACATTATGCACACTCTCATTTGGATTTTGTGTCCGGGGATAGAAACATTCAAAAGAGTAGGACCTGGCCAATCCCTGAAAATGAGTTTTATTTTATCCATTACAGCAACAGGCAAGCTATTGTTGTGTTGATATGTCTCTCCAGTAACCTTCCCTTTGTTAAACTTACGACCAGTTCTCTACACCGGCCAGACACAATCCATGACTGGGGTTATCCTTGTTGACAATATATGGAAGAAAATAGTCAACACTGCTTTTCTCATTTTCCAAAACTACAAATACTCTGCTTTATTGATCGACCATAATATGTTTGTAGTTTATCAATTGCAGCATCTGTCAATCTATTTCACTCACTGATTGAGTGGCCATCACTAAGTAATGTCCCTTTCAATGTGGTCTTCAGTTTTCTCAGATATTATTCATTTCTTTACTGTATATGACGTACACACTCAACTTTTTGAATTGTCACATAAATCTCATACGGTGTCAAATTAACTATTTTGTTTATAGCTCTGGAATCTCAATCCCCTAAATAATATATGTATCTTAAATTGTGTCAATTGATCGAGTGCTTACAAATCTTTGCAACTCCAGTGGCTTCCATGTTTCCACTGCAGCCTGTGAAGTTGGCCTTGCATTTTTCTTCGTGTATTTTTTGTACACAAACAATGTTTGAACATACTAGCACACTCAATCACTTAACCCGTGTCAGTACTGGACACTGTCTCAACGCCATTTTTTCACATATGACCTCCCTTTTCCAGGCATCATCAAAAGTTGCACTTATGTTACGATCATTATTATTTAAAAACACAGTTTCTTCCGCTGCTTCCTTCATACTGATTAAAGCAATGTCTTTAGCAGCGAAACCCAGTATGGTGTTGTATTTTTCAATCTTTGATACAGGTGCAGGCACATTCAGTAGACCACACAGCATATCACCCTCAGCTTTCCCTTTTCCAATTGACCTGATATCATCATCCAGTCCCACATTTCTATTAAAAAATCAGTATTTTCAATTTTAACATTTTTGAAGTACTAACATTTTCTGTACAACTTTTACAAATTAATTCTATATACATAGCAAGTCCCACATATCTGTGTACATTTAAATCCATTCCAATTGTGGCACAGTGTTCACACAACAGTGTTCTTTTAAAATTTCTGGAATATTGAAACATCCATAATATGTTGTTCACTGCCCTTCACTATTTCGTCGTAATTAATGCTGACATTCAGTAACTTTTCTGAGACAAATTCGGCGTTCCAACACTGTTGAGGTTAGATGGATGCGGTGTTGAAACACATTTTACCACAACACTTTTCTCTACACCTGTCCTCTTTTGCCAAGGCACACATTTTTTTAAACACACTAATTCTAAATCGAGGCATTGTTAAAGCTAATTACTGGCAAAAGAAAGAAATAAAAACACCTCACAGTAAACGCTCGTCTACACTCACATGTACTCGAGCACATCAAACAAAAACAAACAAGTTACATATAATTCTCTGAGAACGCCAAGCTAGTGCAGGTTCGCAAACTAATAAACACACAATGCCTCTGGCGGCAAATTTGGAAGGAATATTGTAGGAAGAAGGAAAATTATCTAAAGTCGCCGGAATTAAAAGCAACAACAGAAAAATACACTTCTAGTGAAGATATTGAAATAAATTGCGGAGGAAACGTCAAGAAATTTAAAATAAATAAAAGAAAAAACTACATTTTTACCCTATAGCGGTTCTGTTCCCTCTTATGCAAAACTCGTCGTGGAATGTCGTAAAAACTACTCTGTTGTCCTGAACATATTGGCAACGAAAAAAAGAGTAATTTCGAAACTTGACTACAGGGTAAGGATAACATCCTGTTCTTATTCTGATCCTGAAAAGGGAAGATCGTAATTGTCAAGCCGAATCGTAGCCTGATTTTTGTAACATTGAAATATTATGCATATACAGGTTCTCACAATAAGTGTTAAAACTTTTCAGGGCGTGAGGAAGGAGCGAAAATGATAATTTCTATTCTTTATCCTACGGGAGAACGAAGTGCATGTAAGCATTGCCCCATGGTAGCTGATCGGTGATCGACTGCAAGGTCGCGATACACATTCTTCCTCAGATGTTTTTACACAAGCGTAATAAAATTGTTTCGTTAATTTAAAAATTTAAAAAAAATTTACTCTACAAAATTCCTAGATTTAAATGTGTTCTGTTAAAACGAAATTTAATTATTATTGCTTATATAATATTAATGCAATTTCATATAGAGAGTTCAATATCTAAAATCCACTTGATGTATGTTCTGGTTTACAGTGTTTGCAATAATCATTGAAATCCAATGATATCTTGAGAGGTTTCAACAATAAATGATTACATTATCGCTTCTGTTATTAGATGCTTGTATTGAGATAATTATTGGTATTTTAAGGTTTGTGCATTCTGTATTGCATTAATGTTAGCTGTTACGGCACAAAATCTATTATACAAACGATGATTCATAAATATTTCAAAAGTCATAAAACGACGATTCTAATTCACATGTGAAATGATTTTCCACTGTAATCTGAGCTAGCGGATTCATTGAAATTGTTATAGAGCAAAAAGAATGAAGGGTTATTTTTCCTAAAACATTTGCAAGCTATTTCGTTAATCACATACACATGAATGATTACGAGGAATGTATTTTCATCGTTAGACCTTCTGCTGTAAGGAAATCGTATTACACAGTGCGGCAAAATGTATTTTTTTCGATGATCATCTAATGTTTAAAAAAAAGGACAAAACTTATTAGACAATTTGTCGATGTTCTTTATAACATAATTCAAGTTCAACCACTAGGACTAATTATAAACCTTTTGAAATACGAATTTTTATTTTAAATGTTTTAGCATCTGTAAGTATCACACATGGTCCATAATGGACCAAAACACCTAGTTCGCGATGAAAAAGATATTTTCAATGTTTTTTAACTAAGAAAACACAAAAATGTAGTTTATGATCTAATTTTTATAAGCAGTAATATTCATATGAAAAAAATGAATAATAACTTTGCTTAAAATTACATATTTTATTTAATATAAAAATCATACTAAACATAATTAATAGTCATTGTAAATACAGTCTTAAAAGGTTAGAATTTTTAAATGTAAAAAAATAAGCTATTGTCTTTCATAATATACTCTGATGGTTAATGAAGTGAAACGAATGAATAAATCTCTTATTCATTTATTCAAGTGTATTTTTCTGTTGTTGTTTTTAATTCCGGCGGCGTTAGATAATTTTAAAGTAACATAACGTGTCATATTTTGTAACAGAAAGTTTGATATATTTTTCGAATAAAACGGTTTAACAAAATTATGAATTCGTTTCGACGGTTTTGAAAACATGATTGGAACGGATATTTTAAATCAGAAAGTATTCACTCTCTTCAGTCTTTTCAAGAATCAGATAACTAATAATATTTGTACAAACCATCAGCAAGTTTTCACTGACATGACGTTTTATATTGTAATTTTAATAAGAATATCGCACTTTGTTATGAAAATTTGCGTCGACGGTGATATGCAATCTCCAACTATTCCCAAAAATATAACACGTCTTGAATTTGAAAAGAAATTTAACACCCTCTAATACAATAGAAATAATGTATGATTTTCAGCTTTCAAATGTAATTATGTAATTGTAATGTAAAATGTAATTATTTCGAACCGTGAGAGTTCGAGGTTGCGTTTATATTCGATCAAACGAAAACTATTACGTACTACAAGTGGTGCTTCAACTAGTGGTGCGTCAACCACTCATACATTCTCGCATTATGTGTAGGGTTTGCAAATTAGCAAATTTAGGGAGTCAAACAAAAATGTGAGCTGCGCAACTTTATACGCGACATTTGCTGAACCAACAAGATTGAACGATTTTTCGTCACCAGGGACCGACAATAAAAGTATTTCTGTCGATAAAATGCGGTCGCGGGCAGCATCCTACATCCTGACGCGGAGACAACCAAGACGCCGGCGCCGGGACCGCCCGCCCTCCGGCCAAGTCGGGTCGGCTCGGGTCGCGCCGGAGTTACCTGCGATTAAAGCCAATAAGCGAGCGCTAGCTGCGTGGCCTCGTCGAGCCGCCGGCGGCCCTGCAGCAGGAGGGGGTAAGGGCTGGGAAGAAGAGGGAAAGGCAATATCGGCGAAAGGAAAGGCGAGAACACGATCTGGGGAGGTGGCCCAGGGCATCCACTGGAGTCACTGCAATTCCTCTGACCGGGAGGTAATAAGTTCGAATGCCGACGGTGGCAGGATTTTCAACACTAGCTGGTCAGCTAGGTCGAATTCAGTCGTAGTCTGGAGAGTTCTAACAGCCGGCTGCCATGGTCGGTAGTTTTCCATAGGGTCTCCGAACAACACCTAGCTGAATGCCGGAACAATGCCTTAACAAACGGGCCGCGGACCACGCGCGATATTTCCTTCTCCTTAGTTACACACACTAAAATGCACTACACTACCACACATGCCGGTCGAGAGTTTAGAACTTGTACCCTGCTGATGGGAGATACCTGTTCGGGAAATACACTGCTAGCTGATGGTATGTGGCGCCGGATCTCGCTATCCATCGGCGGAAGATCACTCTACATCTCGAGGAAAAAAACGTGTAGTACACTTACGGGAATAATGAACTTAGCAGTAGACGCGTCCGAAATTGCTAACAATCAATCAATGTGAGAAAACGTAAGTGGGCGGGAAGGGATTAAACGGAGAAGCAAGGGAATTACGCGAGGAGAGGAGGGAATTAAATGCGAGTAGAGGAGAGTAAGTAGAGGAGAGAAGGGTGGTAGATATAGAGAGGGATTGGGGCCGGGGGGAGCGAATGTGCCAAAGCGAAATGAAAGCAAGGGGGAGCAAGAGTCACAAAAGCAGTTCGTTGAGCATGCACAGAAAGGAATCGAGTGGCGGAAACACTAAAAATTGAGGAAGACACGTAATATGGGAAAATGCGCGAGTTTCAGACAAAAAAACAACTGCTTGTGTGAATGATGCTCAGGGGTTAGAAAGAGAAAGGTGTAACGGACAGAAAGGGTGAAACTGGTTCTATTTTAGGAAAATCGATGAAACAGGACAGGGAAAGAGCATCAGCTGTGCGAGTGAGCTATGACGCTAAAGGAATTGGAAATGGTTGAAAGGGCGTTGTGGAAAGTAGGGTGATTGTGGGAAGCCACGAAAATAGTGCGAGTGGCGTGACACGCGCGTGGTGTACGTGCTGATGATAGGCGGCCGGAGAAGTGGTACATCAGCTGCAATGAAGTAGGACGAAGCAGACGCGAGAGGAACAGATGCGTGGCGAAACGGGAGGGAGACGAGAGCGAAACGTAGAAGGGAAACAGGGAGAGAAAGCCTCCTAGGCCTTCGATGGAGGAGGGAAGGTTCCTGCAAATAACTGACGGGCATATACAGCAATGGCGGCGACGGTGAAGTTTGGGCGGTGGAGACAATAATGCAGTCAGGGAATGACAGTTGAAGCACATGCGGCGAAGAGGCCGAGTGACGATGTAGTGGGAGCGGAGCCCAGACGAAAGGAGTAGCAGGAATGGCCACGTGATCACAGAAGGCGGAGGAGAGGAACGTAGCGGAAATAGGGCTGGGTTAGTGAGACGCAGGGGGCAAAATAGCAGGGAAGTGGCAAGGAGGGAAGCGGGGTGGTGGAGCAGCTGAGAGACAAAGATTGGAAGCAGAGAGGCGGAAAAACGAGGAGGCAGAAGAACGGGAAAGCGAGAATGATGCTAGGAGTAGCGTAGACAGGGAAGCGGGGAGGGGAAGAGGCGAAGAAGCGAAGCAATGAGGAGAGAAAGTGAAGAGCTGAAGATGCGAGAATGCGGAGAGGCGAAAAATGGGGAAGGAAAAGTAGGGAAATGAAGATGCGCGGGGGAAGTGTGGAGGCGGAGAATTACGAAAACAGGGAAGCGTGGAAGCGGAGAAGCGTGGAAGTGCGTAAGTGTGGACGCGGGGATGTGTAGAGGCAGGGGCGTGCGGAGGCATGGAAGTACGAAGGCATTGAAGTGCAGAGGAGGGGTAGTGCGGAAGTGGGGAAGTGCGGAGGTGGGGAAGTGTAGAGGCGGGGAATTGTAGAGGCACGGAAGCGGGTAAGCGTGGAGGTGGCGATCTCTGGAGGCGTGAATGTGTAGAGGCGTGGATATGCAGAGGAGGGGAAGTGTGGAGGAGGACGTGAGGGGAAGCAGGGATGTGCGACGACGGAGAAGTACGGAGGCGGAGACCTTGGGAGGCAGGGGAACGGCGAGGCGGGAAAGCGCTGCGCTGGAGGGGCGGGGAGGCAGTGGGGAGGCAGCGGGGAGGCAGCGGGGAGGCAGCGGGGAGGCAGCGGGGTTCGGAGAGCGGAGGGCGCACACGGCGCCGCTCGGCAAGCGAATCACGCGCCCCAGGAGCCGCCGCAGCCCCCGGCCGCGTTTAAGCGGAGCATTGCCATGCAAATGCCCCGCCCGCGCCCCCGCCACGCCCTTTCCTCTCCAGCGCGGACGCTCTCTTCCCCCGACCAGCAGCGCCGAAGAGGCGGCGAGGCGCGGCGCCAGCTGACTCTCCCCTGCCCCCACCCTGCCCAGCTGCGCGCACGACGTACTGCGCACATAGGACGCGGAGAGGCGAATAATGGATGCCAATCCCCTATTTTCCAAATACAAAGCTTTTTTATAATATTGTACTGGATTTATTGAAAACAATTAGCGCATATTGATTGCGTCGCGTTTTAAAAAAATATCATTAGGCTCGTGCGGACGACATTCCAAATTTAAACACCACAATCTCAACTAGTGGTGATGCGACACCACGTACTTTCTCGCATTTTTCTAAGATTAGCAGTTTTCGAAAATACAGAGAGTTTAATGAAAACTAGACCTGCGCTGTCCAAAGACAAAGTTTAATAAAAAATTGTTGCAATTTTTTGAAGTGTTCAATATGTAAAAGCTTCGTGTGAACCTCCCTTTTGCCCAAATCAAAATTTTTGTTTCAAACGCAAAGCTCCTTCAAATCGATCGGGGTGTATTAGTTTTAGAAACGGGGACACAGACATTCATACAGACGAACGTTATGCCATCAATCTAATTTTAGGTATTAAGGACTCACAAAACATGCTGACTACACAATTTTCTATATGCTACATTAAATAGCATACACTTTCCACTTAAAATCGTGGTAACTGAGTAATTCCTAGGCATTTTAGGATCCAATGTGTTACCTTTGCCACGGGAGATTGAAGTTTCTTTCTTACCTTTACTGCCAGCAATGCTAAATTGCTTCATCGTAATTTACAAATCTGTGTAAAGTTCAATAGAGCTTCTCCTTCTTCTTCTTCTTCTTCTTCTTCTTCTTCTTCTTCTTCTTCTTCTTCTTCTTCTTCTCTCAAGAGAGCAATTAACGAGATAGTCAGTAGATCGCCTCGAGACGTGATCCCCAGTGTCTTGGGGCACTGACTGTGAATCTTGGCATAGTCCCAGAGGATCCAACCACCACTGGCAGGATTCTGGCTTTGGGTACTCCATGAAGTTGGGCTGCCAGGAGGATGACTGGTTGGTATTTTACCATCTTTTCCTCCCCTGCTTTTAGAAGGCAAGACCCATCTTCGCGGCGGACAGCCACATCGACCACGTGGATCCCTTCCCGGCTTTTTATTACCAGTACTTGTTGGCTTCCGCGGCTCGAGTCTATTACTTCTAGACTGGCCGGGTGACGCAGCGTCGTTGGCAGATAGACCGACGTTTCGTCTGTCATGTCGCAGGCTTCTTCAGGGTAGTGACGTTTTTTAGTTAGTTTTTATTACCAGGTCAGTTTTGAGTCTAAAACCTTCGGCAACTGAAGAAGTGGCTTCTACCACGGTGACCGATTTCCGGAGCATCTTCCCTTTTATGAAATTCTTGATCTCGTGAATCTCGATGAGGTCTCGTCGTCTCACATGTTGGATGTTGTAATTTACTACTTAAAGAAATACGATTTATCCACTTTTTCATTCATCACGAGAACCGGTCCAGAAGATATTTGGTGGCGAAAGTCGGACGTTATCCGGCCCAGATTACAATGCTTTCTCATCTTTCGAAGTAAGGGAAGAAGCTAAGAACGACGTTTCCTTCAACGAATGTATGGGGAAGTGCTCCAATTGACAAATTGAAAATGCGTTCTTCCCTGAAATACTTTCAGGATCTCCCATTGCACAAAAGCGTATCGCCTGTCATGCGTTGAGCATATAAAATAGTGTTTCGTCTACAATGGGTTTGCGCCTTTCAATCTGGTGTTGAATAAGAAATGGGAAATTTCATAAAGGAAATTAGAAATTAGCAAGGACATTTTTATAAAATATTTATCTTCGTATTTTATATTATTATTATTATTATTATTCAAAGCTTATTGAACCCCGAATTACGATAAAAACTTAGTATATATTACCTGTTAGGAAAGGAATCTCAAGTGAAGTAAACGGCAATGACATATGATGAATCTAATAGCTGCACTGAGTGGTATGACTATCTACTCTTACAACTCTACATTTTGGGATATATCCTGGACAATGGGAAAAAATATTTGAAAAAATTGAAAACGGTGAGAATACGTGGCAGGCTTTGCGGCCCGTCGCGCAAATTGCAGAGGTCACGAAGTGTTGGAAATTTCCGTCACAAGATTTTTGCATTGTTTTGCGATCAATGACACGGCATGCATACTAAGAAGGTTAACGCATAAGGATATCGCCTCTCCTCGCAGCGATGCGAACTTTGCAACGATCAGTACGCAGGGAAACGAAGGAGGACGAAATTTCCGCCAACGGATTTTCTTTTGCTTCAGCTACAGAGGAATGTGTGAAGACCAAGAAGTCGCTTTAAAGAAAACCAAGATAATGTTTCCCTACCAGTTCAACTTCGCTTGGTCCCTTGCGTTAACGACATTCTTCAGCAGTAAAGAGAATGAAACTTCCGTCGCCTAATTGCATATCCTTTCAACGCGAAAAATTGTGAATTGCATACTAAATTGTCTCTTTCAGACGCCATTTGAGTGTGAGTACGTGTTCTACGGTGGAGCTTCATTCCGTAATCGAATGAACTAGTATAGCTGAAATTATTATTTCATTAAACCTTCGAGTTGTAAATTCTAGAGAAAGTAGAGTACTAGTCAAGTAACAACGTTTTGCGCGAATAATCACATCGTTCCGACCTTCAGAAACTTCAGGAGTTCAAGAATGCTGAGACAATTGTTGATATTTTTTATTGCGTCATGGATGTTTTCACCATGTGGTTGAGGCGTAGTTAGTTTCTTACATCACCTCTTATCGGTTCTGAACTATCATCCATTTACAGCCACCCATATTTCACCATTCTTGCCTCACGATCGCCTTATCTTCTTTCATGCAGAGCAAGGCAAAGGAAAACCATTATTACGATGAAACGCCTAGGAAAGGGGAAGACATTAAGCGTAATCCGCCTCTCGTACCTTCTCTAACAAATTAGTACCATGCTTAGCGAACCGCAATCACATAATATTAAAGTTTTAAAGCTAAAATTGAAGTAAAGAACTGTGTTGGTCATAGCGTGTGAAGGAATGAGAATTTTCTTTCTGGGCGCGGCAAAATACTACGATCATTAGTCCGGTGAGTACAGTGCATGTTGTACCTCGGGAGGTGGCGGTGTTCTTCCCGCATGGAATGTAGGATCCAGCGCCGACATACACGCCCAACTGCAGTGTTTCCATCCTCCATGTATTTTCGACAGCCAAGCACGAACCAAACCCAGACCTCCCGACTGGTCTTCCGCCATGTGTGGTAGTGTAGTGCATGCAAGTTCAAGAGTTTGTGTGTGTGAGTAAGAGGAGAAAACAGGAAAAGGTTGAGAAAGAAAAAATCACGCACTTTGCGTAGCCCGTGTGATAATCTACCGCTTCGTTAGCCGCCTGGAATTTATAAGAGAAACTACGGAAAACTAATAGCCAGAGAAGTCGGCCACTAGACTTTTTCTCCAATCGCTGTGTTCGACATTGCTATAGAGCTAGTGTAGAAAATCCTCTAGTGTCCGGAAGAGAATCCAAGGACCTTCCGGTTACCAAACCTGCTGCGGCAGTGGCAGAAACAAATGTTACTAAGCTATCACAGTCGGTTTATTTCATCACGGAAAAGATAGATTCATAAAGTTTGGAGTCAAGGGCAACTTCTTATGTTGTATTCTTTATAAATTTAACAAAAACATTTAAGCAATATAGCATATTTTCTCGTGCAGTAAATACATCAGGGAAAGGACTTCTGAATATTCGTTGCGCTCCTTTGTTGGAGGAATAAATCTGATTTAAAAAGTGAGAAACATCGTGGAATAGAGTAGCGTAAATAAAAGTCTTCATAGAACCTCAAAGTTTATTTAGAGGGAGGTTATGTTACTGAATACCGCTGAAGTAAAATGAGTATGTACTAATTTAATACTGCAATCATAGATAAAAATTCAGGTAATCAAAAAATGACTACAGTGTAAGTCATCAAAATCTTCATAAAGCCATAGGCAATAAAACGATATTGTATTGTCTGGCTGGATAAACGATTTTAATTGTCTGGCTGGATAACTTCTGTTCGAAATAAATGAGCACGTTTAACGTATACAAGTCGTGTTCCGTAGACCTCTAGTGATAGTAATGGGAAATAATCTGATGTGAGGCTAACATCACAGATATAGAAAATCTCGAAATTTCTCGAAAACGTTTGTCCCGAGTTGCGATCTGTGCAAAATTATACTGATTACATCAGCGTTGTAGATTGTGTGTAGAAGTATTCAGCGACAATTTGGCACGCTCTTTATCCATATTCTTCAAATATATTTCACGGTTGGGTTATAATCGTCTTTCAGAACATATGGATGGACATAGGTTTAAGATTTCACGAAGGGAATGTTATCCTAAATATAACTCTGTACTAAAAGAACGTAGAAGTACTAATTGTAAGGAAATAATACTTAAATCGTATACAGCACCATATACTAAAAGTTAATGCCGTCAATGCTTAAATTTGAGAACCCTTTTATATCAATTTTTTGTGCGAGAAAATATTCTCAACTTTTGTATACTTGCATTTCAGCCCCTTTGAGCTTCCAATTTACGTGTATAATCGTATCAATTTTACTGATATAATTAAGACAAAAAACAGCGATATTCCCGTAGAAACGTATTGTGGAAAGTGTGAAGGCTATCAAGAATTTTTCAATTAAAACCATATTGATTATAAAACCCTCTAAAAATATACGGCCAGAGAGTGAGTGTCGGTTTCGGGCGCGTGTTTGAGGTGTTTCGTTCCATGATATTAAGCCTAGAATGTTAGTTCTACGGTTTGCTAAGTTTAAAAAATCAATTGTAATTTTTGATCTTGCATAATTCCTGGCAGATTAATATAGAGACACTCTATTTCTGAAAAAAAAAACACAATATTTTGAGTGAACAGCGAACAGAACACACTTTCTGTCAAATTAATTTTATTTGATTTAGTGATTCCGAGAGAATCAATTGCTATGGTCCTCTAAGTGTAGTGTTTAATATATTCCGGTGTTCTTTCGTTACTGGAAAATGGTTGCCTCACCTCTCCAGTTTAAACACACACACACACATTTACACATACATGCCCTTCATTACCACACATATCGCGAGTCCAGTCGAGGGTTAAGAGCTCGACCCGGTCCCAGCCCCGATCCCGGTCCCGATCCCGGTCCCGGTCCCTGTCCCGGTCCCGGTCCCGGTCCCGGTCCCGGTCCCGGTCCCGGTTCCAGACCAGAGGCCCAGGCCCTGGTCGGCGGAGGCGCCTGGACGAAGAACCTCTGCAAGCCGACGTGATGCTCTCGTTTCGTCGTTTTTCGTTTCTCATTCGACGTGTTTCATTTGACCGACGCTGTTTACCTCGTTTCAGAGAGGGAGGAACTCCGCCATCTCCTGGGATATTACAAATACAAGATGTACGGGATGAATAAGCATATGCCAGTCGTACAAATAAGACCATTAGCGATTAACAATGCATCTCGTATGCCCCAATCAGGATTGTGTATCTCAAAATACATTATCCCCTTTTCTATTTCATTTTTATTACTTCTCTCTACAACCAGTCATACTCTGGGATTAATTAGTAATAGGAGATGAGATGCAAAGAACGCGTTTTATTAATATAATTAATATTTTGCGAATGCTAAAACTCTGTTATACATAATATGATTTGTCTAATATTCTTATAGAATATCACTCATGCATTGTAAACTTTAAGATATATCAATTGGAAATTTCCAATTCACTCCTTGTATTACCCATGATTAACCAATCCAATTTAGTTACATTTTTGCAAAATATCTCAGCTTTCCATGTTGGCAGGTTCGATCCTCGGCATTACACGGGCTTTTTTTTGATGTTCTATACGCAATATAATAAGTAAACAAATGTATTTGTGAATGTAATTTAATATATATTTTATTTCAGGTAAGTCGCAGAAACTAAAATTACCAAGTCGAAGAGTTACACGTAAGTACAAGCTAATTTCTTCAAGGCTTGCAAATACAGCGCATTTTGTTTTAGTTTAATGAATATGATTTAATTATTAACTTGCATTATTTTTAATTCCTTTCAAATTCGTTTTGAATTCTACATTTTTTTGATTCTACATGTTGCAATATTTTTATTACTATCTTTCATATTTTCCTTTTCTATTTTGTGATATATTTTCCGTATTTTTTTTTCTTAATGCGCTCGTCGTGTTAGACAGTAGGTGATAGGTGGAGAGTAGGTGGTTCGATGGTACGAAGTCACCAAAAACGAATGTTTTATTAATATTTTATGATCTTTTCTAATTAATCATTGTTTTTATATACTTGTGGTGTTAACGAAATAGCTAATTCACTTGATAATGAACTTTTAACTTCAGAGGGCCTCCTTGAAGAAACGTTCTTTGCTTAGAAATGCACCGTTTAAATGTGCTGAGAACGCTAGCACTCTCTTGAGAGAGTTAGCCCTCGTATACGCTGGTCGGTGTATACGAGCGCAATAAAGACTGAAATATGTGTATTGGTGCCATAAATCGAATGCATGGCGCCCATGTCGTAAACAACAGAAAAAACGAATAGTAAGATGCTGCTACAAGTCAATAAACAGTTAAGGCTGTGCTGTCCATATCAAGGTTCGAAGCTGGCCGCGAGGTTTGTGGAAGTAGACTTCCACCATTACCGGATCTCGGAACTAAAAGAATTGCCATCGTAACATCCAGGTGCACTTGCCAATGTAATATTTGCAATTGTCTCAGCTCGCTGTGCGCAGAGTCTATTTGGAAAACATTTTAGGGAATGGAAACAAAGACATACCTTCCCATGTATGACTTTATTTATAGATGTAGTCATGTCGTATTCCGAGGTTACTACGTACTATAGGATTTTCTACTTTCTTTCAAGACTAAGCCAAATTGTTACTTTTACTACATGTGACACAATTTTAAATTTAAAATTTAAAATTATTCATCGTGGCAAAGTACCCTAAGTGATGTGCTAACTGTAACCATATACCTACATATAACCCCTTGAAATTATTATACACTACACTCATTTCAGAGCAGAAGAATCTACAAGTTCACGTAAGGTTACAAGGGCATTGCCGTGGAGTTAAAAGTAGAATAGTTCATAACGAGTTCAGAAGTGAACAAAATAACAAACCGATTTTTAAATGTCATTTTAATACGTATTTCTACAAAATAGTTCATTAATGAGAATATTAGTGTGCTTGTGTTATTTTGATAATTTATTTTATTCAGAACTGAGATTAAACTTCCTAATTACTTTTCCATTAACATTATATTACATATATCCATTCATGCATCCACGAACATTCAAAACAGCTGTTCAGCAAAACATTCTGTGCGTTCAAAATATCATTAACGATATTAATATATAGCGTTTACATTTGTTCCTGAATGAAAAGTTAAATGATAACGTGACGAGATCTTAATTTGATTCAATTTTGAATTTCGCTAATAGCAATGTTTGCTTCTGTGATACATTTTGGTTATAATTCTGGAATACCAATAGCCAGAAACCTTGCCTCTATTCACAAAGCAGAAAATATAGTCTCTACTTCATATCACGAATATTATTTACTTTTGTATCTTTTCGGAATCATACTAAAAAATAGTGATCATAAAAATATTATGTGCATAGTACGTTACTAATATTCCCTCTCAATTTCCATTATCTCTGACAGCTAATTGGTTTTAAGCTGAATGTGTAGGTATATATGATTTAAAAGATCTCCTATGATAACATTAATAATAAAGATAGGGAATTTCTGCTTTCATTGCTAGCTATATTACGATTCATTACATCTCCACATTTATTTCACTTTAAAAAAGGAAATGCGGTACTTAAAAACGGGGCTCTTAGTTATCGCCCCATAATGTCAGATTTTGCCTTACTGTCCGTTCCTTTCTTTAAATACAATCACCAGGAAAATTTCAATAACTCAAAATCATATTTCTCGTTCATTTCTACCCACACATCAATTATCTAAATCCTCTTCTGCCTGAAGAGTCTTCAAATGGAAATATTGCCGAAGATGCATAGCAATTTCTGAGTGCAATCAACCAAAACGGTTTGGGAAGATACTAAAATTAATCCAAGTTCATCTGAAGTTTGCCTTTGGTTAAATCGCGATGTACTACGCTGTGTAACTAACTTTAGAACTCTAAATTGGCTAATAGGATTGCATCCAACTGTAATTGAAACCTAAATTAAGATAGAGTACTAAATGGTTCCGGTCGAGAGGAGTCCATTGCTTCGCGGTGTCTGCAGTACTACGGAGGGCCGAGAAGATCGAAGACTGATATTTTCATTTGCTCCCTCTTTCAATGGCCCAGCGGTGGATCCGAAATTTACGGAGCGTCTCAGACAACAGAAATGGAGATACACTCTGACGGGAAGAGAGGAAAACCACGTCTAACCTTTAGGTCACGCGAAAGGGATGAAAACGTCGATCTTCAACGCAGGCAAATCCGATGCTTTGGAGCGGCGTGGGTAGAAGTCTTTCTTGGCAACAAATTAGTTGTGTTGTTGGTTAGATTGTTCACTGGAAATTGAATGTTCCCCCACTTGGTAGCATATCACGTTAGGTTCTCCGCGTTTTCCTCTCACCTTCTCCTTTCGTTTCCCCTTGCTTCCTGCCTTCTACGCGAAGAGCAAATTCGATTCTAGCAGACTCTTAATGGAAGGGGAGGAATGGGGAAGAAGAAGTGAACAGAGCACCCGGATTTACTCGCGGCAGGCAACAACAGACTCGTGTGGTGATGGACGCGGTTTACCTTTATTACTTTCTCTGGAGAAGAGAGAAAGTTATGTAATGCTGGTCGAAAAACGGCTAATTTTCGGCAGAAAGACTTATTACAGGGCCCTGATAACGAAAAAGTGGATAAATCCAGTTGGTAATTTTAGAAAAAATTCTCTATCACGTGGTGTAGCAAAATACATGTTTTGTGAGTTCTTGGTTCCGAAAAATAGAACGACGGCAAAACTTCCGTCTTTCCGTCCGCCTGTGCGTCCATCCGTCTGTGAACAACGCTAGTGTCTAAACATTTCAGCCAATTTTTTCCAAACTTGATATTCCCCTATCGATATGGCCGATGTCGTGGCCCCTTGAATTTGAAACCGATATTTCAATTTTGGGGTTTCTTTACATGAAGCCCCTGGGACAATAATAAAATACAAGTATTATAGTGCACTACTGGTGGCTTAATAATAATAATAATAATAATAATATAAAAACCGACTGATTTATTAAACATTATGTTACATTAAGACAAAGAAACTTCTAAAATAAATCTCCACGCTGAATGTTTGTACAATTGCGAGTAAGACCACGCTGAACAGGCACAACACTGCACTTCACATTGCGTTCAAATAAATTGTTACTGTATCACCCCATTTCTGATCTGTTCTTGGGTGTGAGTCCATGGTTTGAAACAGTACTGAGTACGATTTTTAATTGCTTAAAGGCGTTTGGTCTAGCTACAATGTGTCTCGTAATGTGCCTCTAATAAAAAGACAAATATCAATACCTTAAAATTTTACAGAAAATATATTTAAAGTATGTTGTGTATTTAACTCTACATCACAATCAATTTTTTTTTAATTTGCACAAATGAGTTAATATCAGTGTAGTCATCTGCAGAAATATTCAAAACAGAACAACTCTCTAGGATCTGTAGTGGATTCGAAAGTATGTTACTGGACTCTCTCGCAGTGCTGAACGGCAGAGGGTCAAACGACACAAATAGAGATGAAACAAAACAAGTAAGTTAAAGGTCCCGGTGGTCGACATGTCATCAGTAGTTGACGGTTTCAAATATTAAAATATATAAGGCTTATAATATAATGCTTTTAAATAAGAAAATAACTACCTTGAAATTATCGCTCTGCACGATTTCTGTACGGCGGAGCCATCTGCAACGTAAACAAGTAACTATCGTACTACTGTAGCAATGATTTTGAGTTGAATAGGCTATTGCGTATTTGAATGTGTCGCCTTCTGATGACATGTCAGCTGCTAGTGCCTTTACCTCATATGACGCATTATTTATCGGATCAATAATACGATTGGCACCATATTCACATAGTGGAATGAAAGAATGAAGGATAGTTCCACTACCCTGCACCTTAAACATTTTTATTAAAAACCAGGAAGCACAATTCGTGAAAAGTGTCAAAAAAGAAAGAAGAAGGGAGAAGAAGTACGATTAGCTAGGCATATAAATAAAACGTTTCGAGGGTCAGTCAGAAATAAAAGCGGATCAATGGGAAAGGGTGAGAGAAAGAGAACAATAAATATAAAAATATTCCGAACTATTGTTCCATCCTGTCTACGGAACCCTATAGATTAAAGGATTTGGAATTTAATATCATGCTGAGAATGTCGTACTCCATTGCTCTGAGATAGAACTCGGGTTCTCTAATACGTTCTCGCGACAAGGGGACCAGCTGAGATAGAAACCCAACGAAAATAGAATCCAATATGTTGAAGGAAGACTCTGATCCACCTTGCTGGTGAGTGAGCTATTGCCATGGCTGGTATTCTTGCATAATATTTCTGCACAAGACACATGACATTCTAGATACCGTGAAATCAGTGACGTGCAATATCTCATTCGAAAATACAATAAGTAAATTACTCGTACAAAAATATAATTTGAATTTACTTTTAAATGTGGAGCTGGTTAACAATGGTATTGAATAGATTTACTTTCGCACTTTATTTATACATATTATAATACCCACAATAAAAAAATGTTTCAAATTTTAAGACCCTATTGAAAATAAATTCGAATGGCTAATTCAACATTAATATTGCAAAAGATAAATTATAGCAATTGCACCAATTGCAATTAAGCTAAACATGAAAATGGAAATCAAAAGTTTATTTTATGTTATTAGTTCTTGTTTAATAAATTGCAAATATATCGAAACCTCTGGCTCAGATTGGCACAAGAACCACCAGTGTTTCTAATAAAATGCCCACATTAAGGAATGGTCGTTGAAAAGAGCATATGCTCGAGTGACTTACAAGAACAGCGTAGGGCAGCTAAATTAACTTTCAGGGCCAAGAAATTGGCAAAATGAGATTCTCTCTAAAATAGGCGATCAGTTGCAAGGCTGTGCGCTTTGTATAAAGCTTATAGCGGTCATCCAGCTTGGAAAGAAATTAATCGGCGACCAAGTATTCCTACAGAGATCAGTAGGGGGATCACAGACACAAAATAAATTTAAGACCACAGAAAACAGATGTGGAGAAGTTTTCTTTTACAATTCCAACGATAAAAGAATGGAATACATTTTCTGCAAAAACCTTTGAACCCTTTCCTCGTAGGGTATAACAGTTTAGGAAATTAATGTAGGGTATTATTAATAAATGAGGGAATTATATGACAACAGTAGGTTATAGAGCGATGCATCAGTAATAAATTGTGTAGTGAGTTGTCGTGCAGTGAAGAACAGAGAACTAATGTAGGAAGTGATTAAAGGGTTATAGTGAAGTGAAGTGAAGCGCAGTTGAAAAAAAATTCAGTGCGGAGTTTGATTATGATGTTTCGTTTTTTTAAGGTAATTTTAAATGTTTTATGAATTACACAGTTTTATATCATTATTATTTTTATTATTAATGTTATTTTTATTATTATTTTTATGATTTGCGTGTAGCTGTATATCTTATTTATGTAATTAGCTGCCAACGGGTTATGCTCATTTGCAGTTCAAAAGAATTTATCTTAATTATATACGTGAATATTTATATCTTAATATATAAATGTGAATCAATAGTGCTTTTCAACGCATGCGAAAATTACTAAATTACCTGAAGTAATTGGAGATTCAGTATACGAACAGTTTCAATGCAACGAAATCAAACAAATGTTCTTGATTTCATTTTCAAGGGAACGTATGCAAAACTACATTTCCTTTTCACATTTTGCATTCGCTAAATAAAATATTATGGTTGCTCTCAATTTGACGTCTGTCACTTTTTTCATATATTTCATTGGCTACACATTGTTATATTACATTGGCTGTATTAATAAATTGTAAGTAAAAATTAAAATTGGATGACATGACCATGATAATTAGGCATAATTAATATACTGTGTTAAACACTCATGTGCCCATGTAAGAGATAGTCACAGTTTAAAACTAGTATTTATTTAATGTCAATAGTAGTTTTAAAAACTGTATGTGTCTTATGGTGAAGAAGTACGTTTACGATGGCATTTTCTAAACTTTTGTTTATAGACAACTTCGTTGTGCCGTTATCATATTTTCAGCTTCAATATTTTCTAAGATGCGTGATCCGAATAAACGCTAGGTGTTGTCAATATTTTTTCAAGTTATATCGTTAATTGTCTTCGCTTCACGAAATTTATGAGGAACAAATCCCACGTTATTGTGTTACGAAGTATGATCGCATAAACTGACGAAAAATACAAAAAAATTGTTTCTATAGACCAGAGTTTGCCCGACTGGAGAATAAATGCCGTCATAGCACCGTTCCCCTTCTCGACGAGCGCTCGGAGAAGCAGCGCGAGAAAAGGGGGCTGTGAAGGAGGGACTGAGGGCGGTCGCCGGTGGTGAAAATCTTGACAGTGGGCATTTCCGATGTTTTAGGCAACCTGGTAGGGAAACCATCTACACCCGTTATTTTCTTTCGGTTTGCGAAGAAAGGGTTCCATTTGTAGATACTGGAACAATGCTTAAGTGTTTAGTGTGTTAGAAAGAACTGTACTATGTTAAAAAGTCCAACCTACAGATGCATTACGTAGCTCTGTGACCCGGTGAAACCTGCGAAATAAAAATGCATTCTGAGAATTGGCATATCCCAAAATCATCAGATGAGTAAAGGAATTTGCAAATTGAAGATTATGGAAAAGATATTGACAATCATAAAGATTTACAACATTCTCAAATACATCATAAACAATTAAGCCTGGGATTCAAATTATCTCCTGTGACCACTTCCATAAACCAATTTGTATTCCATTTGTTAAAATTAATTATTGTTCCAGAGCGAACTATTTTTTTAAAATTTTATATACCATTGTATAAAATATTATTGTACATATTAAAATTGTATTTTTCAAAAATCTTATGTGATGAAAGACAGGAAGTGGAATTACAGTATTGGTTAAGATAAGAGAGACGGATATTGCTTTGAGTTATGAAATAATGTATGTTCTATTATATAACTATTAATATTGTGTATGAATCATAAAAATTCTAAACATTAACTACCATTTAAATCAACACTTATCGACTTTCCATGCGAACATTCCCCCCACTTCTTTATCATCACGGGAACACACTGCGCCCGCCGCCCGTCGAGCTGTTCCTTTACTCTGGTGCTAGCTTCGGTACAGGCGAGCAGACTCCTGTATCGTCACACAGCATTGAATTTGAAAACACTGGTGTGTACCCTTCAGCGTGAATTGTCTGGACTATAGACAAATCACGCAGAAGGGTATTCACTCAGAAGCAGAAAATTAATGTTTAAGAAGGTGTCAAGTATACCAACTAGTAAATCAACTAGTGATGCTACAGCAGCACGTACTTACTCGCCCGTATTTTCTCGCAAAATTAAGCGAAAAATTACTCAAATTTTCAAAATATTGTACGTCACCTTATTTCAAAATCGATCTTTCTGGGAGAGATTTCATTAAGGTACAATAACTGCCTTTAATATTTTAGTTGTAGGAAGACACTTTGAAGAAATTTTGTACTTTTGCAATTTTCGAAAAATCAGAGTTTTTAAACAACAGATCACCTGCACCATTTTCGTAAACGTCCTTCATTATATTTAACCTCAAAATTTAATCAAAAACGATTAAGCATTTGTTTTGTTGAAAATTTGGAAAATGTCCCAAGGGCTTCATTTAAAGAACCCTCCAAAATCAAAATATCGAATTCAAATTCAAGGGACCGCGACATCAAGCAGATAAATTGAGGAATATCAATTTCGGGAAAAAAACGGCTGAATGGTTTAGCCGCTGTTCACGGACAAATGAACTGACAGGCGCTTGGCGTTATTCGATTTTTCTGTATGAAGGACCACAAAATATGGATTCTTACTATACTACGTGTTAGAGGATTTTTTCTAAATCTAGCAATTTGATTTATTTACGTTTCGTTTTCAGGGTTCTTTAGTAAGTTTTCTACGGAAAATTTGCCATTTTTTCGCGCAGCATTACATAACTTTCTCTCTACTCCGTAGCGAGAAAGTAAATAATACAGTAACAAACCGCAGAAGATCACACAACGCGTTTTTCGAAAGAGGGTTTTTTTAACTGGTAGACAGAGACTTTCCAAGCCTCTTCTTCATTCAATATACTTGATCAGGTTCTTACGCTTGATATATTGCGCGTTATGGTTTGTTGCATGAGTAGCTTAGTGGTTAGAGCAACTGGGCGTAAACCAGGAAACTCGGGTTTGAATTCCAGTCGGAGGGGGACAGTACTTTGACAAAATTAAATAATTAAAATATTTTTTAGTCAGTAACAAGGTCACAACTTCGTATTCATTACTGCTGCGGAACATGTTTTGTTTCAGAGAGTAAATGCGTCCAAGAAGGTAACAGGGTTGTGACAATTATGTAAAAATTACTATGTTTTTTCTGAATATTTTATTTTATCCTTCAAGTATTCCTTTTAAGAACTTTTTAAATATTCCTTAAACATCCAGTAGTTTCCGAACCCAGTATTAAACTACCGAGTACTGCGGTCGTGAATTTTGAATTTGCTTCTTTTCCGCACTGATGTTCGCTCTTCTTCTGAGGTCTTAAACCTTTTCTAAACAAAATAAACAATAGTGGAGAAGGCAAACTTGCGTTACACCTACCATTAATTGTACCTGTGGAAGGCCACTGACAGACTACAATATGTAGAAAGTATACCCATAAATAATGGGAACTTCAATGGGGAAAGGACGAAAGTAATTATATATATTGAAACGAAGAACGTTCCTATAATGAGAACTATTAAAAGAATCACATTCTAAATTAAAACAAAACATTTGAGTTGATCAGCGTAGTAACGCCGCCGCCGCCGTTCTTCGTTCAGGAAGTTCAGGAGAATGAGGGATAAGGGCAAATTAAAGACGCCGCCGCCGCTAAGAA